GGCTGAAGGTGGTGCACGTGGGCGCTTGGTAAGATGGGCCATGAGCTACCTGAACCCTGGCTGCTCAACTAAGGAGAAGGACTGGCCATTGACAGCAAGCATTTCCCCAGTGCTCTGGGTGATCTTGCTTGCCCTTGCAACACACCCCGCTTTCTATCCACCAGTTGGGCTTGGACACCAAAGAAGTCATATGTGTGTCAGCACACATTAGCCCTTGGCTCCCCCTGACCACACCAAGTGGAGCAGCAAATCAAGGTAAGCTGGGCAGGGCAGGGGGGAAGAGGGAGGAGGAGCCGGGCCAGCTGTAGGGAATCAGGAAGGGGTTTTCCCCCCTCCTGTCCCTACTTAGCTATGCCATGTGGGAGCTGCACAAACAGGCGTGCTCTTCAGGAGCGTGTCAGAGTTTGTGCAGGAGTTTGCACAGCAGGAAGAGCAGGAGGGGCCTGAGACTTTATGCATCAGAGTTGGCGGCTTTGGACAGTCTCCACAGTCTTCAAATGAGTGCACGTGAGGGAGTCTTAATGGGGGTAGTGACTCAGAGTGCAGCCAGGGACCCTGCCCCGATGTTGCCTCCTGATTGGGGCTTCTCTGAGGCCTCCACCCAGATGAAGCCTTTGGGTGGGTCACCAGCACCCGGGCCCCCTGCCTGCAGGGGTTGTCTGGCGGGTCCTCGGGGGCCCGGGGGCAGTGGGATGGCTGGGAGTCCCCTCACCTGTTCCACATGTGCCTGGATTGAGGTCCTGGAGGGGCAGGTGAGGGAACTCCAGGCAGAGGTTAGAAGGCTGCGTGTGCTCAGAGCCATTGAGGATGAGATTGACGGGTACTTCCACCCTTTGCAGGATTGCTCAAATGGCAGGATGGCAACTCGAGGGACCTGACACGGACAGATGGAAGACAGTCACCTCTAGCTCTGGACAACGCAGAATTAGACCCTGCACTGCTAAAACAACTCCTTCAGCACAGCTGGGGAACCGATTTGGGGCCCTGGCATTGCTGGGAGTGAGTGCAGCAACGGAGAGTGCAGCAACGGAGGCCACACCCACAGCTACCACCAGGCAGGCTGTGAGGCAACAGGGCAACTGGAGGAGAAGATGTTGGGTAATCGTAGTAGGTGACTCACTGCTGAGAGGTACAAAGGGAGACATCTGCCACTCGGATCCCACAGCACGGAAGGTCTGCTGTCTCCCTGGGGCACAGATCCATGATGTCTCAGAGAGGATCCCCAGGCTTGTCCAGCACACAGATTACTACCCCATGCTCCTTATCTACATGGGAGCAAATGACAGAACCAGGAGCAATCTAGACTGTGTCATGAGTGACTGCAAGGCTCTGGGAACTAGGCTTAAAGGATTGGGGGGGGGGGGGGGGGGGGGGGGCCTGTTGCAGGCCACGGTCCAAGGAGGCAAGAATGCATCAATGAGGTGAACCGGCATCTCTGACGGTGGTGCCACCAAGAAGGGCTCATCTTCTACAACCACAGCACCCACTTCAAGGACAAAGGACTCCTGGGGAAAGGACGGCATCCACCTCATGCGGAAAGGTAAGTCCCTTTTCTTGGCCAGGATGGTTGATCTCTTAGATAGGGCTTTACACTGAGATCACAGGGGGATGGGGAAATGCTAACTGGAGCTTACCTTGGGGGTGGTGCCACCAAGAAGGGCTCATCTTCTACAACCACAGCACCCACTTCAAGGACAAAG